CGGTAATTAAGCTTTTGGATCGGTAGTTACGGTTTTGAGGAAGCACGCACGGCCTGGGCTTAAGTACCGAGGGGGGGTCAGGAATTAAGTTTTAGGGTCGGTAATTAAGGTTTCGTGGAAGAAACGGGGCAGCAGCTGAAATACCGAGGGGGGTCGGTAATTAAGCGTTTGGGTCGGTAATTAAGGTTTTGCAGAAGCGAGGCAGGGACTTAATTACCTTAAAAAGGTAGTTAAGCTTTGGGGTGGGTAATTTAGGTTTCGTGGAAGCCCGTCCTCCCCCCCTCCCCCCGCCCCAAAAAAAAGCGAGAGCTACAGTAGGCAGGGGCCCACCCTTTGACAAAAAGCATGGCGAGAGCTACCGCAGCCTTCATTTCGGTCTTTCAGCCGTTCGAGGGACCTAAGTCTTTTTTTTACGAGTTTGTGGGTGTACGGTTTAGGCTTAGGGCTTCAAGCTGTAGGTATCAGGAGGTTTGAATTATGGGTTATACCGGGATTGTATAGACACCAAATCCTAAAACCCAACATCCCAAGCCCCACAGCCGCTAGGAACGCTAACGTCCTGTTTGACCCCAAACCTGAAACTCTTCACTTTTAACTAGCACAGAGCAACGCAGATCTGAAACCGTGGGTAAGATTCTGATTTCGGTGTTTTGGAACAGCTCTTGGTCTTGTTCTCGAGGGTAGCACTCGAGCCCCTATTTGTGCAAGTTGGCAGGCGGGGTGGCATGACAGACACCCTGGCTTGGGGAGACAAGGTCTGCTCGACGCTGGTTGGCCACTATGGTACCAGCATTCCGAGAGGCAACTCGCAGTTGGTGCCACGGCCAGCACCCCACCTTCCTCGTCGCTTCAGCCCTCGGGAGTGTGCGAGGCTCATGGGCTTTCCCGACAGCTTCAAGCTCACTGAGTATTCCGAGAGTTCGGGTCAACCGGCCGTGTGGTTCCGGAGACTCTACAAGATGTTCGGGAACAGCGTCTGCCCGCCCTTAGTGGCTGCTGTGGCCGGCGCCATGTTGGACCACGCGAGTTGGGGCAAAGGAAGCGCAGCAGAAACTCCTTGGTCAGAGCTCGGTCGCTCGGCCGCTCTCGGCCTGGCCTTGGGCTCCCTGGCACCGGGCCCTCGCCAAGAACTCCAAAAGGCTCTCCATGCCTCCTGGCACAGAGAGGATGCTGCGCAGTGAGGTCTACGAAGTGAAGCGTCTCCAGGTCGAACTTGGTGAATCTGAAGTGAACCTCCTGCATTCAAGCAGCACGATACGGCTGGAAGTCGCAGAGCATCGATTGAGCGGCACGCAGGACCGAAAAAGCTTAATTTTATAAGCCGATACCAAGAAACTCCCGCAGCCTGTGTCAGGGCGATGACCTCTGGTCGATGGACAATCGCCGCCTCTACGTGCCTTGCATGAGACTGTCCAAAGAGGAGGCTTGGCGTCAAGCCGGTTCTTTGCGACTGAGGCGCTGCAGCTCACGGCCATGGCGCCTCGGCAGCACGGGAGGGAGGGTCACGCAGAGTGCAGGTGCCAGAGGAGAGTTGAGAGATGTTGAGAGGGAGAGAGACGGACTCTCCATGAGGACCTTTGGCCGCGGCGCTGCCGGGTGCGCTGCTTGCGCAGGAGCCGGGCCCGGGCCGAGACGCGGCCGAGCCGTTAGAGCGGAGAGCGCCGTTCGAGCAGGGAGCGACTGCCCCGGCACAAGTTCAAGACCCAGTACCGGAAGTGCCGGGCCCGGGCTTGCTGGGCTTGCCGGCTTCCTCTCGTCAGAAGACGGGGGCCAACAGAATTTCTCAAGGTTCAACACGACGAGCTCGGGGCGATGCATCGACGTTTGCACCAGGAATCCCGAGTCAAGTCCGAAGGCTACGGCGGGCAGTCGCAGACCTGCGGTCGAGGTACCAGCAGTTCGACACCTGGAGCTGGTACGAGCGGGCCCTCGAAATCGAGGGGTGACACGCGCGTTTCGCATTAAGTTAAGTGCGTCATAGAAGCCTTCTGACGAGGTACTCGCTGTCCCGGCGGCTTGGGTCCATGCTTTGCATCTTCGAGGCCTAGCCCCGCTCCCGTCAAGCTGCCGTGCTCCCGCCATGGGCTCTGCGTGTTTGAGGCTGCACCGGTGCTCGGGGCCTTGCTCTTCCGCAGCGGCCTCACGGGCTTCGAGCGCGGGCCCCGGCAACAAGCTGCCTTTGGACCGTCGAGGCCAGGGCCAGGCGGCGTTGTTTGAGGTCCCGCCGGCCCCTGGTCCTCGGATTCCTGCTGGCCTTCGGCGTGGACTTCCTGAGGCAGCAGGCCACGGTGACGGCCACTTGCACCGTGAGAGAGAGACCCCTCCGCCTGCGTAAGGTGCCAGTCTTTGAGCGTGCGCTCTCCGACCTCCAGGCCGGACCAGAAATTCTGCTGTGCTTTCGCCCACTGCCGTTTCCTCCTGTTCTGGGAGTCGCCTGATAGGTCAGGGCCATCATGGATGGCGAAGCGCTGCAGGCAAAGCTTTCCGTCTAGGTTCTTTCAGCTTGCTGCGTGTAGCTTTCGGAGAAGACATCAAGGTCTTGGTCTTATGACGGCCAAAGCTTGCTGCTCGCTGTGTTCCGGCTTCTTGCGACGTGCTTGCAGATGACATCCTGGTGGAAGAAGGAGGCGGAGCAAGCGTCGTGTGGCGCTAATGAGCTAGTGAAGCAAGAACTTTGGTGATGCGGAAACTGGGTGAGTGACTTTGTCGGAAGGGGGAGGAGCCGTGCGGCGTCTGCCCAGCGCAGCCCGAGCTCCAGCGGTGCGAAGGGCGCAGGGGCGAAGGGGCGAAGGGGGCATGGGCCCATTGGGCCCCGCCCCATCTGGGCCTGTGAGGTTGGCGGCCACCATGGCCGTGGCCCTGGTGCTTCTGCTGCCGCCGAAACCCCAGCTGCAGTGCATAGAGCACTCAGCACTCCCCACTTCTGCTCCGCTTCCCGCTGTAGGTACATCCTCGGGGTGGCCCGTGACAAAGTGCGCTCCTCGCTCCTCTCGCCAGGAGCTTAGATGCGAGGTGCCAGGCCCCTGAATCCTGACCTGGCCTTTCGACATGAGGTTCCCTGTTGTACGCTCGTACCGGACCTAAGTCTCCGTGAACGTCAATTCGGTGTCAGGTGCTGGTTCGGAATCGCTTTCATGCTGACGCTGCAGCTAGCCTCCGTGGGCTGGAAGTTGTGGTCTAGAGGTCAGGTCACTTAAGACATCTTCGATGTGGTTGCAAATGTGCTTGCAAGCTGCTGCAAGCTCTTCACAGGTCGCTCGGCTGCCGCGGTCCCGCTGGGCGGAGCGAAGGAAGAGGCGGAGGAGGTGGAGGAGGCGGGGGAGGCGGGGACTGGAGCGCAGGGGCATCAAGCGCAAAGCTCAAACCTTCATAGGGCGATGATGTTCTGCGATGACGTTTGCGTCGTCTTTACTTCGAGGACGAGAGGACGAGCGGAAGCCGCGGCGAGGCAAATCGCGAGGACACCGAGGACAAGGCGAGTCGGCGCCTCTCTGGGCTACGTAGCGCCAAGTTTCGGGGGTGCCTTCTCGAATTTGCGCTGGAGCCACTTCATGCCACTTCCTTCAGAGGCCGCGGCGGCTGCGACGGCTGCGGGCTCATAGCCAACAGTTTTCCCCCACGGCCACGCGGTCGAGAGCTGGCAGCGCTCCCGTGCGGTCGCGGCGTGCCCGACTGACCTGCCTCGGTGTGCAAAAAGCATCAAACCCGCCAAAGCCCAAGTCACGAGGTCACGATGTTTGTCTTTTCAGGGCAAATCGTTCCGGCGCTGTGAGCACGTAGTTTGGAGGAAGGGCATGTCGCGGCATGGCCGACACTGCAAGACTGCAAGCTAAAGTAGAGAAGCTGTAGATCCCGCCGAGAAATGAGGACTTATTGCACTGAACTGCTTCCGCCGCCTTGGCTCTTTCGCGTTTCGCCTCCGCGTGGAGGGAGGGCCCGGCCCTCTGCCAGGAGTGAGAGCTGAGAGAGGCAGAGAAAAAGAGAGAGTTTGATCTCAGCGCCGTCCTCGGAAAGGTGCTGATGGCCGTCGCCTAGGGCTGTTTCGGCAGGATGATCCGTGCCTCCTCCGAGCGGGTGGTGGGCCGGCTGGGCACTCGTCGGGGGGGGGGCAATGTCGGGCACTCCGCCCCAATGTGCGTGCCACGCATGTTCCGCGTCAGGCATGGCGGCTCCTCCACCCTACGCACCACGCTTTCCTGTGCGCTGGAGCCCTGGTAGAGCCGGCCAAGCTCTGCTCGGCGTGGTGCGATGTGCCTAGAGGTCCCTCGCCTCAAGCGGACTTTTTACTGAGACGCTGATGCGGCGAGCTTACGATACGGCCGATGCGCTTACAGGTGTCTCCTGGGAGCTGGGAGCTGTGTTTAGGGATGCTGGGAGGTCCCGCCGTAGTGCTCGGAGCGCCTCGCTGTCGCCTGCGCCTAAGTCCCGAGGCGCGTGGCCGAAAAGGTATTGAGCTGCAGAAATCTTAGGGTTAACAACGATTCTATGAGCTTCACAAGCCCGAGCCGTGCCAGGGCATGGGCGTTGCTATTCGCCCCGACGCTTTGCATCGTTCGCGGCCGAGCCGGGTAATGGGTCTCCCTCTGCACACTTTCTCTACCAGTTTTTCGCAGCTCATTTCTTTTGTCCATCCCTCCGTGTCTCTGACTCTCTCCCTATCCGTCTCTCTGTCTCACTCTTGCTCTCTTTGGCTTTCTTGTCTCTCAAGCCCACAACCAGCTAGCTCTGACAATAGTCTCTCCAGGCGGCACGTGCCCACGGCCGCCGAAGAGTTGGCCCAGCACAGCCAGGCCCGGTGCCAGAAAGCAGGATGCTTTCGCTTCGCTCCTATACCTTATGAACCCTAAACTCCCTAAACCCAGCTTAAACCCCACGCATTTGTTTTTTCTTTCCTTCTTTCCTGTCTTCCGTGCTTTCTAGGTCCTGGAACCCTCGGTAATCAAGCGCTTTGACGGCCTCATGAGGCCTTCCAGCTCGAGGTGTTTGTGCTTGACGTTGCTCTGATCTGGCTTTGCAGGCACCTGAAGCGTAACACCGACAAGCAGGACTTCGAAAAACAGGCGCCGAAGCCTTGCACGGCCGTCGCAGAATCTGCCTAGCAAGGAAGGCCGGCGACGTGAGTTCTTCTCTTTCGCGATTGCAGGTGCTAGCCTCGCCGCCGGACGTCCTCGTGCCCGAGGAGTGAGATCCTCTGCCGCTCAACCAAGGCTTCCCTGCCCGGATGCTGCTGCAACGCTTGAAGCACCAGGTACGACGAGGTTCTCCGAGGGGAGTTCTCGCGCCACTGCAGCTTTGGTGTCGCGCCCTCGTCTTTATCTCTTCTCCCGCTTCAGCTTGCGTTTCGGAGCGTTTTGCACAGGAACGACTGAACACCGAGCTGATGCATTCAGGAAAGTGGGCAGAGACCTCGAATCTTCGTCATCTGTGTGACTTGTGGGGAGACGGAGGGGCCGAACATGGCCGAAGCCTGCGGAGTTTGCAGGTCAAGATGCTGAAAGAGCTTGGGTTCGTGCCCGGGCCTGGCAAGGCCAAAGGACCTTCAGCCCTGGCGACGGTTCGGGGCGGAGTTGTTTGGCGGAGACCTTGCAGGACCATGCCTATCGTCCCTCGCAGTCGCTGACATTATCTTCCAGAGAGTCCCGGTCACGAAGCCTCTGCAAGCCCATGCACTGAAGCCGCAGCACCCAGGTGCTCCATGACACAGACTATGGTGGCAAGCGCTTAACCTACGACTTCTTTTGCAAGGCCAGAGCTAGGGTTGTCACGCAGTCACGGATGCGGGCCTAACGGCGTCCCATGTCTTGGTCAGGCACTTTGCCTGGTGGCCGTGAACATGTATCCCAACATGGATTGGGAGGCCTCTCTCCGTCTCTCGCTCTCTCTCTCTTTCCGTCCCTCTCCCGCCTCTCCCGCCCTCCCTCCTTCAAAATCCCGGGGGAGCGTGAAGATAGAAATGCAAGAGCGAGTCAGCACATGTTTCGTTTTGGCTTGGATTTGACTCTCGGGTGTTGTTGCTGTTGAGTTTTCTTATCATTTCCGCTGGTAGCGAGAGTAACGCTGCCGAGACTTTGCAAATCTGCTAAGTGCAACCGAGTTCGTAAGCTCGTAGTGCCCCGTTTGGGCTTTTTGCGAAGGCGGCCATGGGCGAGCTCCTGCAACGCATCGCCACAGCTGCAGAGGATAGAGGGGATTTGCAACTGACGGCTAAGTCCTGCATATATATATATATACATATTCTTTTTATATATAAATGTATATATATATATATATATATATATATATATATATTTGTTTAAATGATAATACATAATATTTCTTTAAAACTCAAAATATAGTATATGTCACAGGGTCAAGCGCCCAAAGCCTTCAGCTGCGGCCTCCAGCTTCCGCTTCCTCCGGATCCGGCGAGAACCGAAGGGGCGGGGACTTGCAGAGCGGCCCTTGGATCTGCAGAAGATGAAGAGCTCTTCGTACCCGCTCTGCACCGCAAAGAACTTTGGTGATTAGTATCAAACATTTAAATAGGAATACTAAGGAGAAGAGTGACAATAGGTTAGTGAGACTACGGTCAAGTTGTCTAGTCATGGTATAGTGATTCGTGACATGGCTGATTGTAAACTTCGTAACCTCGTAAACATTGAAAAGAAAAAGGACCACGATCTTGCGCCGTATCCAGTGGAGGTGTGTCCGGACCTGCCGGAGTAGTTGGAGCGCGGCCCAATCTCCATGAGGGGAATCCTGTCACTGAAGTTGGAGTACCCGTCAGATCGGGATCTCGTTGGTAGGTCTTGGGTAAACAGATGCACTCGAAATTCATCCTGAATGTTGACTGGTGCACAGCTTGATGTTGCTGCTTTGTGATCTCATAGTCTGCTACATCTATCTACAGCTTGCACCTCGACGACCTAGCGCGACCGTAATGTTAGCCCTTCTGCGGCTGCGTCTTGCAGGAGTTTCAAGAGCAGGCTGCGGCTAGCGAGCCAGCCGACTTCTCGCTGGACCCCAATGCTCCGGGGCTCGGTTCATGACATGACAGAGACAGAGAGCGAAGAGCGGAAGAGCGAAGAGCGGGATGAGCGAGTTCTGCAGGTCCTGCTCGTGCTGGACCACTTCAAGCCCAAGCTGCCTCCAGCTCAGATGCCCAAGCTGCACTCGCCTTGCTTTTTGTAGAAGGCATCCACGACGCAAACTCTTCACTGCAGCTGAGCAAGCTTCAAGACATGAGCGGTGAAACTTGAGCATCTGAGCCGGAAAATTTCAAGGGCTGTACTTGTAAGCATGACGGGCCAGTCGCATCGGTCTTCTCGTTTTGTAGATGCAGTGTCCCGTGAAGCCTTGTGGATGGAGTGGCAAGTCGCGAGGAGGAGTTTCCTCTCAGATTGGTCGCTTGCACCTTCGAGTGACTCCTTACAGGAGGTCCTGGAGCGCAGGACTGCGCCTCGCTGCTACGAGCGGGTGGTGCTTTGTGCAGAGGTACAAGCGGCACTGCTGGCGAAACACGGCCGTCTCTGCAAAGAAGAGAGTGGCTACACGGAGGATAAGGAGCTCTTCGACGACCAGTGGCGGGAGACGTTCCAACTGACTCTGGGGATGCCTTGCCTTGTGCCGGGCTCGGGGCAGTTGGCAGCCTACTTGGGAGAGGAGGAGGCGGAGGAGGCGGAGCGGTGCAAGGAGCCGCGTGTTCGCCTGCGGGTGATCGCCCCGCACGATCCGGGGGAGGCGGAGCAAAGCTGCGAGAGGCGGCAAGTTCTGCCGCTGCCCACGGCGCCGGCCTCCGTTGGAGACTGGGTGCTCTGCGTCGAAAACCGGCGGCTCCTAGGGAAACCGGGGCTCTGCCTCGAGGCGCTCCCGGAGGCACTCGAGATGCCCGAGAAGGAGATGCGGACGCGCTTCCTCGTGGCCTTCCCGCAGGAATCCAACGCCCAGGCGGGAGTGTGGAAGGGCCGAGCCCGGAGCCCTGTCGTGGTGTTTGGAGCTGCAAGGTGCCGCCGGAGATCTCCTGCATGGACAAGCGAGAGCTGGTTGCTTTGCCGGCGAAACACTCAGACTGGCTCACGCCAGTGGAGGAATCCCAAAAGCGAATCTTGCATGTTCTTTGAGAGGACATGTCATCGGAATAAGCCGTGCAGGAGACTCTGAAGAATTGCCACGAGGTGCGTGCAGCACTTCAAGATCTACAGTTGACGCTGGGCTTTCCATGAGCTGGCGAGCTTGATTTGGGGCAGTTTTGCTGAGCGAGAAGTCGAGGCCTCAAGCAATCATCGCTGACGAAGCCGAAGACGACGAGGAGGACCCATTGCACGGTATCATAGAGGGAGCCACAGCCCAGCTTAGCCGAGGACTCCTCGGAGAGCTGTACTCTCGAATCAGACGACGAATCAGAGGGCCTCCCGCCGGCAGGGAAAATGCGACGCGGTCGAGGAGGGGGTCACCGACGTGGCGGTCGAGGGGCCCATAGCTTCGGATGGTCGGTGAGAAAGCGAGCAAAAGAAGTGACTGCAAAGAGACTGGCATTGCTGAACACTCGCGTTGCCAGACATGTCTGACATCCGTTTCAAGGCACGACCTCTTCGGCTCCTTTGCACGGCGCCAGCTGCCGAGCCCCATGGATGCCAGGAGCGTCGCACAGAGAAGAGCGTGGTAGAAAGAAACCTGCCAAGGCGAGGTAGGACAGGATTTGTCTCCGTGCACATCGCTCGCCAGGACCGGGACGGGCACAACGCGCCTGAAGGAGCGATCGATTTGGAAGCACACGCAGGACCCTGCATGAAAGCCTCGGAAAGAGGGCCAACTTGAGAGACGCTCCTTTTGTGCAGGACACGGTCTTCGCCTCTCGAGCCTCCTCTTGCATGTTGGGAGGCCGGTGCAGCAAAAGAGTCCAGAAGAGATCTCAGTTATCGTGTGCCCAGGCACCATCCGGGACGATGTCGGGAGCTTGAGCTCCTTGCCGCCCTTGCCCTCTCCAGTCGCGGCATTTGGGGAACTGAGGATCTTGCAGAAAATCAGGCCAGACAAAAACCGTGCAGCAGGGCCACAGCATCTAGCATCTGAAAGGATGAGCGTGTTCCCTCTGCGAGGACGAGTCCATGAGCCCAGGGCTACCCGCCGTCAAGGCTGCAGGGGAGAGAAGTCCCCAATTTCGAAAGAGTGGAGTCGGCTTTTCTTCTCTTTCGCAGGAGGTCTTTGAAGAACACCACGAAGCCGGCAACCCGGAGTCGGATACCCGTCCGGAGCAGGCAGGAAGCTCGCCGTCGCCTGCCCCAGAGTCCACCTGCGCAATGCAGGACAGCTTGGATCCCAACCCCGAGGCAGAGTGCTCTATAGAGGGCCTCTGGAGCTCCTTCTTTTTGCTGTTGTGTGCGTGTGATCTCTGATTTGCGGGGCACTTGCACGCGAGGCGTCGCTGCCCCACCAGGTGGCTTCGCCTGAGCGCGGCTCTCCTGAGCGGCGGAGACGGCCGCAGCTGCCCTCCGGCGCTTTGTCAGGCCGGAGCTCGCGAGAGAAGAGTGATCTGCGGTGACTGCGGTGCTGGCTCTGCAGGCAGCGGCTTCTTGAGCCGAAGCCTCGAGCAAGATTTGCTAAGATCGAGAACGAACTCGCCGACCCGAGGCCCAAAGTCCGCATCGGCTTCCGGGCAGTCCTTGCTGGTGCGCAGCCTCAGAGCCTGAGAAGGGGGCACGTTTCGATTCCCAGCGCCAGCGCGTCGCCTTGAGAGCCAGGCTTGGGCCGAGCAGAAGGGCCTCTGCAGCCCCGTGAGCCCCGCCAGAGCCCTGGCCGGCGCCCGCATCCCAACGTAAAAAGATCCGCTTCGTTTCTCCGTGCCGAGGACAGCCGGAGGTCGACAACGAGCAGCCGCGCCGGCAAGTGGAGCCCCGCAGCCAACGCCGGGCACCCGGGCAACCCACGCCTCTTCGAACCGAGAGCCGATGCGATCATCGCAGGATCCCTATACCTATGCCTGCGGCAGTCCTACCATGAGGAGAGTCGAGAGGGGGGATCCTTGCCGGGAGGGGTACTCAGCTCGAATGTCTGTGCCAGGAATCGACGTAGCTTCATGTCGCTGGAGCCACTTGGAGCACTGGTGACAATGACAACGAAGAAGAAGTTGTGCAGCATGAGTCGGCATTTACTTGCCTGAAGTGGATCGCTCCGAGGCAGCTTTTTGCTCTTTGTAAGGAGCTGAAGGCTCCATCTGCTCTCGGAGTTTGGAAAAGCTAGGGCAGCTCTCTTGCTCTGTCCCAGATCATGCCGGATTTGATGAGCAGACAAGCTGTGGTGCGCATCTTCAAGAGAGCACAGCGCCCCGACTGGCAGCCCCTTCTCGGTGAGTCGATGTGATGCCTCACTGACTCTCAGGTGCGCAGGTTCGGCAAGTGCACATGGTGGCAGTAACTTCGGATACCTGTCGCAAGAGGCAGGTCGCAGCCGGAGCAACTGCAGCTGCACAGATGTTAGAACCCGGTTGCAGCGAAGCTGCTTTGAAGATATTCGTCCGCAGCGTTCAGCCTCACATGCCTTTTTGACGAGTTTTGACGGCCTCCTTTTTTCCCTCTCGCGGTCGAGGCCTGAGCTTCATGTTTCCAGGGCAGAGCTTGGAGAAGTGCAGAAGCGAGTGAGGCTCGCCCCAGCGAGGATGTTCATCTGCTGTGTGGACTCGTCAGCGGAGCCTTCGCATCGTTTGAGGGGTGTGTGAAGTTGGGACCCGGACCCCACACGAGACCAAGGATGACAAGGAGCTGCCCCCTGCCAAGCTGGTCACATCAGACGAGGCAGAGACGGAACTCGAACTCCTTTCCTTCTGGCAAGAACGATAGTTCCGCGCAGGTGCTGCCCGCCCGCTCGTCCTCAGTGGCGCAAGAGCTGACAATTGGAGCCCGCCCGGCCAAGGAAGCACCGCAAGGCGACGGCTCAAGTTCGCGTCCCTGGGCAGACTCTCTCAGGAGGAGTGCTTCACTTTCAGCGTTGACGTGGTGCGATCGCCGGGCACGAGCTTTGGCCACGAGCCCAGACTGGGACAGTACAGGGCCAAGTGCTCGATCGACGGGGAGCGGTGCTGTGCCAAATGGCATCGACTGGGGCTCTGGCGGGGCGGGGGTCCACCGAGGTCCACCGATCCACAAGCAGGTTAGGTGCAGAGAGATGAGGTGATCCCGCCAAAACCTGTGGGTTCTCCCTGGAGGGGTGTGCAGAACACGGCGACAGCCATGGAGCAGAATCGATACTTATGCTCATGACGAAGCCACCCATGGACCGTTCGGCGGTGGAGGCCGAACCCCGGTTGACATGGTGTGGACAGCTGGTCAGCACTCGGCGCACTGTGCGGCGGTCGGCTGCGTCTTTCCTTGTCAACAAACAGGAACAAGGAACGCAGAGCCTGCGCAGTGTAGCTGTCAATACCAGGTGCGGACCTGTTCGAATCCTAAGCGGGTCCTGCATTTGACCGGTGACGAAGCTGAGCGGAAATGCCAGAAACTCACCGGAAATGCCTTGCCTACGTTTGGGATCCGGTTTCAGTTTACCTAAGGGCAGCGTGCCCATTTTCGTACCTTTTTGTTCTGCACAGGAGGAGAAGGCGCCGGACACAGGCCGAACCCCAGAATACGCTCTTCGAAGCACTACACATAGCAGGCTTAGCCGGTGGGGGCCCGGGCCGGGCATTTCGCGAGTGAGTCGCAGTCGAGAGAGCGCCGTGTTCGTTTTGCGCCCCCACCAAGCCATCGCAAGCCTTGTTCTTGTCGTTTTCTGCTATTTTCGCAAGGTGTAAGCCACAAGTGCTCTCTCGCTCTGCTACTGCTACCACCACTGGTGAAAAGAGAAGCACCCTGGAGCCCGTTCGCTACTGGGCTAAGGCGTGGACATCTCGGCGGCCGGGAAGGTTCCGGCAGAATTTGAGCTCTAAGGCTGTGGATCTGGTCTAACACCCTCCGAATCCCGCTCCAGGTTTGCATGGTGAACGCAGTGCAGGCGGGAAGCCTGGTGGGGGACTGGAACAACCAGTGCGCTCCCGAAGCCTGGCAGAGCGGTCCTTCGTGAAGCAAAAGACAAAGAGAAACAAACGAGCAACGAGAATCAAAGGAGCACTGTGAGAGGCGGCAGGTGTGCGTGCAGTCGTCATAAGTCATAATTAGTGGTTCGTGGTCTCAATCACCATATCGGTCTTTCTAGCCTGACAAGTGCTGACAGGACTACAGTCGTCGGGTTAGCCGTAAGCGAAACGTCACATCAAAAAGACGGCTTCGGGATTCGGGCCAAGGACCACCGGATCCGACAGTACGACCGCCTGATGGCATTCAATGGCGATCGGCCCTCCAAAGGCGGGTCAAACTGCCTGTCCGTGTCTGTCCCCATGTCTCGCCTCTCGCTCCTTCTCAGCGACTATCTGCTGTATCAGGGAAGGAGATGCTGGAAAAGCTTCGAGATGCCTCAGGCGCCGTCAATCACATGTCAGAGTCCCATTTCTCAATTACGGCAGGGCCGGGGGAAGCGGGGGGATTTTCAGCCGAAGACTGACCCAAGCACCGTGCATCTTTGGTGTCTGGATTTCAGACTTGCCTAATGCAGGTCCCGTGACCATCACCGTGCAGCGACCCGTGGTCCAGCAGGTGAGGGGGCACGGAAGTGCTCTCCCGAACGAACTACCTCTGCCACGTCTGCAGGTGATCGTTTCCAAAAACGGCAAGGAGCTGGGCCTCGGCGTCATCGATGGACAGAGCTTTCTCCTAGCGGCTTGGCTCCAGTCGACAGCTCTCTGCAGTGTGCGATGGAAAACATCTGAGGTTACGAGGATCGCAGAGGGTGCCGTCAACGACCACAACCTTGCGGCTGCATCGGACCAGGTCATCAAGGTGCCGAGCCGGATCGTGTGCCTTTGGCAGGCATTCGACAAGCCTTTTTGCGGCACCTCGGCTGTAGCCCGCTGCTGAGGACAGTGGATGGCAAGAAGGGCTCCGGTGCAGAGCTGTTAAAGCTGATGGAGAACGCGCCTTCTAGCTTTACCGTCGAGATCCTGTGCTATGACTGACGGCGATCAGTGTCCGAAGTTTTCAACAGAAGAGGTGGCAGCACAACCAGAAGATTGCATGCATCAAAAGCATCACCGAACCGTTTGGATTCGAGGGAAAGATCAACAGGTCTGCCACCACATGTAAGACACGAAAGACGTGCTGCAAGTGGCTTCAGCGACAATTGCAGCAATGTACCAGCATCCCCGCTTGTTTCTGCAAACTGTGCAAAGTAGCGAGGTAGCGAGATGATAGGACGGTCAAAGTCTTAATTTCACGAGGTTGCTGGGTCGGAAGGCACATGTCTTGGAATTGAGTTCATGAGCCTAGCCGACGATTGACTGGAGCCTTTCCGTTGCCAGTTGGTGTTTCGTTTCTGATGCATTGCTTTGCTGCACCCTGCTGAGTGCAGCTTGAGATGTAGAGGAGTTCAGGCATTCGTCACAAGTGGAAAGGCTCTGTTTTTGCGCCAGTTCGAGTCGACACAGCTTGGCTCTGTAATGACAGAGACGGCGGTGCGACACAGGCGTCCTTTAAGCGTTTCACCGAGGCAGTCTGCAGCTTTCGCAGTGCAAAGCACTTCACTGGACGGGAATCTGCGAAAGCTGGGCTGAAGGCCCTGCGGCTCCTAGCGGCTTAGCGGATGAAGTCGGAGAAATGGAGGCGAAAGGAAGGGCCGCAGGGTGCAGTGGCGGTGTGGGCGTCGAGCGAGAGAGCGAGAGAGCGAGAGAGGCTTTTGTGGACGCCATGGGCCGGATCGCAGTTCAGGCTTACACCGAGGACCACTTCGAGTGTTCAGGATCCCTGAGCTTCTCCTGCTCTGCGCTCGAGGAGCCTTATTGTGACGAGTATCCAGAGCCTCACGAGAAGGCGCCGACTCGGCATCCAGAGAAGTTGCCCTAGTAGCCCTAGCAGGCCCTAGCATGCTGCGACTAGACACTAGACCTGCCTCAGATTCTGGCCTTCTTGTCCGACCGCCTGCCGGGACAGATCAGGTGCTCGGAATTCACGTGAGCTCTCTCTGGGACCCCGCCGGCGCCCTGATTCTGAGGACGATGCGCGAGAGCTTCCGCTATGGCTGCAGTGGCCGTGGCCGACATCCGAGTGATACGGGCTTTGTGAGTCCTACGTTTCGACTCATATACGATTCTCGAAACCCTCCGTTCTTCATTGCAAAGAGTCGAGGCCCAGCAGTGTCGCCCGGCTACATCGGCCGGGGCCCCTGCTCCCAGGCGGTCCAGGCAATGGAGATGGGAAGCAACGACACTAGGCACACAAGTGCTCGACAGTGCGGGTCACTGAAAATCCAGTCCCTACATGAGCCTGTGCGTAGCGGATGCAACAACAGGCAGCAAAAGCTTAACAAATTCGAGCGCCCACTAAATGTCCGAAGTCCGAGACTCCCCTCAACAGTCAGATTGTCTTCAAGCCCCTCAAGTCTGACCTGTCTCAAGTGTAGGATTCTGTAGCTAGCAACTGGCGTGCAAGGCAGCAGGCGCTGACGGAGCGCTTTGGGTTTGCTGTGAGGGTCGCGACACCTTTCGTCCGCTAGTTGTGGGCCAGGAAAGGGGTTATGGTTTAGGACTAGAAGCATTCAGGGTCGTCGTCACTACTCCTTGAGGTCCTGGCAAGTGCGTGTGCCTCAAGGGTCCACAGGCGCCTGTCCAGGACCCTCTTAGCGCGGATTCCCAGGAGAGGGAAGCCCCCATTTCCTCGCCTGGGAGCACACTTCGTGCGAGAGGGACAGGACACAGGAAGCAAAGGTATGGACTGGTGAATCTTCGCAGCCCAGCAGTATCCAGCAGTCAGCAGAATGAGAATGTCTGTCCCAATTGGAGGATGGTTTACGCCTCCGGTCCTCTAGGGACGCCGGGAGCAACAGTTGGCTCCGCTTAAGAGAGAAGTTGCAGATCTGTCTGCCAGAGCGAGGTGGCTCGTGCTAATGCAGCCTTCGCCACGGCAACGGGGCGCGAAAGCTGGGAAACACACGGCTTTGCTAAAGTCCAGCTTCAGGTTCTGTTGGCGTAGAACAAGAGGTAGACTCACGTAGCAAGGGATCAGAATCAGAGCAGCTCGCGTCCTGAGATGGAGCAGGCCCACAAGTCCGGCCTAAAGGCTTAAGGCTTGCCTAAAGGGCAGGCCGAGAAGAGTCCGAGTTACAGCACAAGGAAGCAGGGTTGCTTTCCAGAAGCTTCACACATGCTCGATCTTTTCATGATCGACAGCGTTGAGTTTGGTACCCGGTGCGTGCGCTCAAGATGCATCTCAAGAAGCAAGTGACCACAGTTTTGCGCAATGAGTAGGACAAGCCTGTGACTGGTAATTAGCCGGACCTCAAAGCCACTTTCCGCCGGTCAGCTTGTTGCATGGCCCATGCCCGCGGCTGGCGATGCAGGCAGAAAGAGCAGCGTCGCTCGCGTTTTGGCTGGCCCAGCACCGTCCGGTAGCCGAGGTGCGCGTGGATGCCGGCGACCTCGCGCCGGAGCTGCTGCTGTCGGTGCGGGTGGGGAATCTCCGGCGTCAGGCCTGCGGCTGTGGGGGGCTTTAAACGGTGAGTCGAAGGGAAGGGAAGCTGATTCGCAGCTGACAGGCGACTCTAGCGGCCCTGCAACAGCGGGCACTCAGGAGACCCACTCCCGGAGCTTTCTCTCTGCATGCGGAAGTTGACCCGGAGGTTCCCAGAAGAGTTCTGCGTCGGGAAGACCCTGCAGCTGGAGCTGCTGCAGCAGGCGAGAACGGATCGTGCTTTTTTTTTTTCCGTTCGGGCAGTGTTCGATTAAGGTGGGCAGCGAGGTGGTGGTTTGTTCCAATGAGGACGGGATGTCGAGCTCTGCTCCGGCGGTGTACATGCCCTCCGGCCGGCAAGGAGTCCTACCGCGTCGACTTCGAAGCAGGCCAGGCCGGAGAGGGTGCCAAAGGCAAGGTAAGTTTGGATAAGTGGTTTCTTGCCCGAACCTGGGGAGAGACATGGGCGAACATGAACAGGACAGCTTGCCTTGACCGTGAGTCCGGAGAGCGGCGACCAGGACGACGCGGCCAGCCGTAAGCTCAGTGCCGCCCTCTGCGCTCTGCGTTGCTCTCCTCCATGCCGCAGGCGATGGGAAGTTCGAGATGGACGGCTTGCCGATAAGGCATAGCTTTCGTCCGCAGCCTGTGCCGGAACCACCCCCTCTGCACAGGCGACAGGATGCGGCTGCCAGTGCCAAAGAGTGCGGCACTGCATTGTCAAGACGTTCTGGATTTCTGGACGTAGCAACATCTGCATTTGGGCCACGAGAGCTAGTGGAGCAGATCTTGATTTTTATTGATACAAAAACTCCATCGGTCAAGCTGTGCCTGTCCCGACGACTTACTGGCTCCGAGCCTTATTGGCTCCAAACTTTCAGCGTTTGTTGTGTTGCGGAAAAGGGTTGCTGAGTTTTTGCCATCGGCATTTGCATTGCCTTTGGCGGGTAGCAGCACCCATATATTTAGGCTTGCTTGAGTGTTTGAATATTTCCAAAAATAGCAGCAGCGGGCAAGGACACAAACCCAGAGTCTTATTAGCCGCTTCACCAGGACTGCAGTCTATGCGCCGCATAATCATTCGGTTGCTTGCTTGCTCTTCAACCTCGCTCCTCTGATGTTGTCGCCCCTCTCGCTCATGTGAATCTGCTTCAGCCGATGCCGTAGATCTTGGATTCCTTAGATGCCGTCAGGTACTTGGAGAAGCATGAACTGCTACCTTATCTGCAAGGCCTCCTCGAGACCGTGTGCAAGGAGAAACCCAGAGTGATGGAGCGCACCCGAGGGCTTTTGATAGTTCTTGAACGAAGCTCTCACAGGAGAAGCCGGCGAACCCCTACCGTTTCCTGTGCGGCACTTGGATTTTTTTGACAGTTTGCTAGAGAACTGTGAGGCGTCCTCCTCTGAAGGTGGCGACAGCTTGGCCTGGCCTTGGAGGCCTTGCCACCGAAGGGGCCCGCCGAGGGGCCAACCGGGACGACCGGGAAGGCCGAAAGCCCAGTGGCATGCTGAAGTGGTTTAAGCTTGGCCAGTTCCAGGCGCAGGCGCCAGAGCCCGAAGAGGGCTTGCCGGAGCCTTCCACGCGCCCTGGCACTCCCGCCGAGCTCGAAGGCGGACAGCACCTTGCTGCGAGAGATCGCTGGAAGGAAGAAACAGTAATCCACGATGGGTCGAATTTTGGGATCATCGGCTTCAAAGTGCAGGGAGCCGAGCCACAACGCCGCTGCCACCGCCACCTTTGCAGCCCACTTCAGAGGAGGCCCAAACACATCACCGACCCTTAAGGCCTGTAGTCCTGTTGAAAGTGCGGTGGCAGGCCGGCACTGCTGCTGGATGTCGGGGACCTGGCACGATCTCCCGCAAAGTGCCACGTAGGAGCTCCCCAGCTCTACTTACAGGTGTGGTGGCGTGTGCAGACGCGCTGCCGGAGCCGCTGAAGAGCGAGATCCAGGAGGCGCGCGCGCGCGCAGTTTGCCCAAGCCGAGCCCGGACTCGTCGAAGCCCGGTGGGGCTGTGGGGAGGCTCTCGAGGCTCCTTCCGAGTCGCACCTGCCTGCGGCCAACTCCGCGGTGCTGTCCATATTGTTTCTCCCTCGCACACTCAGGCAGTGGCTGCACGCGCTGGCGGGCGTGGAGGCTCTTTGGCGTCCTGCTACTTGTAGAGGATATGCCATGCCGCTTTGTTCGTCTGCATGCACCGCAACGAGGACTTCGAGAATCTGCGACTTCAAGCACTCGCACTTTTTCAAAGTCGCAGCCTTGGGCTCCGGACAATTCGGTTGCGACAGTTTGGTCGAAGCATGAACATGGGAAGCAGTGTATGGGGAAGATTTCCGCAGTGTGTCGCCAGTATTCACCACTCAAGCATCACAAGAAACTGGATGAGCAAGCCAAAATCTGTTAATGTGCCTGTCTCGAAGCGGTGTGCATGTTCATGTTCGCATTGGAGGATCCACTCAGTCGTCGCCTCCTCTTGCTGCTGCCATTCTGCACGACTTAATAGGCGTCGACTACCGTATCACCTTCGCGCACTTCGATCTGCCGCGCTGCATGCTTCCACCGATGTGCCTCGTCACTTTTTGCCTGCAAGAATGCACCGTGTGACCCGGCGGCCGCTCCTTGGGAGACGTTGCAGTGCAGTGGCAAGTGGCAGTTTCACGAGTTTCACGAGTCGAGTCCACAGAAGGTTTGTGCAAGATACTTCGTATTCTCAGGTTCGATTCAACAGGGCACTCTGCAGGAGGTGTTGCAAGGCCGGAGTGATCCCATGGAGAAGGCAAGCGGGGGGCGTTCTGACGATCTGAGCTTCAGTGAACGCGAAGCCAAGGGCACAGAGGCTCTGCGGGTGCTGCTGCGCGAAGCTCTTGGCCGTGCCGCTCCCGAGACGTTTGGAGTTGAGCTCGCAGTGGCTCGCAGCTCTGTGGACTCCGGCTAAGGCTCCGCCGTGGAGGGTTCACTGCAAGCCCTGCTTGGCGAGGAGAGCGGGGGAAGTAGGATGACCCAGGATGAAGGTCGGACGGTCCATCTGAGAGTTCGCGGACGTGGTGTGCTGGAAGGACACGGGCTTGGAGTCGAGCGGCAGCGGGCTGGGCCTCTTGCCGGTTCCTCCACCAGGCGGGAAGGAGAGTGGCGCTAAGGCCGGCACCAATCTAAGTCGAAGGCACGCTGGCGGGGGCGCGCTCGTGTGTGTGTGTGTGAAGGTGTGTGATGACAGTTCATTTTTTCTAGCAGGGGGGCAGGGGACATTCTGGAAGGCACTGCCCTGTGTTTTTTGTCACACCCTATTACCAATTTTCCTTCAACCGCTTTTGTTCAAAAAGGCAAGGGGATGGAGCACGCCTGCGGAGCTCCGCATCAAACAAGGCTCTCCACAGTGTCTTGAGGATATCACCAAGGACGCCTAGTGACGGACCTGCATTGGCAATGGCAACCAGGCTACGCCACAAACCTAGCAAACAAGTGCATGTTGCAGAATGTTGATTGATCCTTGAGTCCAGCCCGTATCCGGCAGAGCTTGGCTTTATCCAGGATACACTGACCATCGGTCAGAGGCTGCCGATGACTGCATAATTGTGTTCCAGGTAGATGCAAGGTTCATCTGTGCAGTCTCGCCACGTGAGATGGAGTAACCCAGGCTCAGTTTCCTGCCTGTTCTCGTTATGTTGTGGCAGAGTCCGATCCGATGGGATCATGTTTGGCCCCTCGCGGAGTCTCTGGTTGAAGGTTGGCCACAAGCCCTTGGTGATTTCCTATCTCGAACAATCTCTTCCCCCAATCTGATCCTGACAAGACAGACATTGGCATTGCCACATTTGATTCCAGACCATCGGTTTCATCAGGTCCGGCCAAACAAGCCTTTTTCATCCTGCAGCCGAATCAAAGCTCTTGTTGTAGGAATCCTGTAGCCTTCTCTGTGACAACATCGCAAACTGGAGCCGCAGTGGGGGTTGGAACTTTTCTTGTCGGTCCTTGAGCAACTCGTGGAACCACAGCAGCTAAGCTAGAGTAGCTGGCAAACCTCTCGAGGGAAATTCCCCCTCAAGCCTCAAGCTGTTCCCAGTTCTACTGTTTGCCGAGTTCATGCAGCCGCTGGTTCAACGTGTCGTAAAGACTATCCGGGACAGTGACCCTACTACTACTTCCAGTGCTTCCAATCAAGAGGAATTCCAACAACGGCAGTCATGGCGACTTTGAATCAGCCCGATGCGATCACATACGTAAGATTATGTTGACATTACTAACATTACTATCAAGTACGGACTCATGCGACCGTCCAGACGTTCGACACAACCCCAAAGCACTTCTCCCGCGGATTCATACGCTCTTGCCGATGGTGCTAGGTTTCTGTAAATTCCTTCCCACAGAAAGGTAGACAAAGAAATTAGCAGCATGCTTGCTTGTGCGTGTCACACTCTGTTAACCCAGGGTTATTCAAATTCCTTTCGTTGAAAAAGCACGGGCATGCAGCAGGCTTGTGAAGCCCCATCGAACCAAGCTCTCCACAGCGTCTTGAAGATATCACCACGCACCAGCATTGGCAGTGGCAACCAGGCTAAGCCAAAAACTTGGCAAACAAGTGAATGTTGTAAGATATTCATTGAGCCTTGAGTCCAGTTTGGCCCCGGAATCTCGTCACCGAACATAGACATAGAACTTGGCTCTATCCAGTTACACTGGAGGCTGCGGATGACTGCATAAGAGCAAGTGTCTGTGCTTGAGAGCGGAACCACGTGGCAAGCAGCGCGGGTGATACAGCGCCAATCAAGACATCAAGCGTCCGGAATTCTTCTGCGCTCCATCACTCCGAAGCAGGTGCCAAGCCGCCGGTTGCGAGGCCCAGGCCGCACTTCAAGGACAGCCAGTTGGCGGCCGGCATGAAAACTGCGCGAGACCTGATCGAAATCGCAGCATGCCGCGCTGCAATCTTCTTGCCCTGGCCCTTCACAGGATGCGAGCCCATCAGAGGCCAGATTGCACCTTCCTCGGGCGAAGCAGGCTAATCTGAAACTTGACCAGGATGTGAGCGCGTGCCGAATCCTCACTCAGCGAATACTTTGCCGCGGGACACCAAGTGCCTGCGTGTCCAGGGCAGGATTGTCACATGGTGCGATCTCAGAGATGTGGGCAGTGCGGTTCCGGTGAGGCGCGGCATCCCGCGTGTACAAAGCAAATGCTCGAGAGCCGCCGGAGCTGGCGCGGCTTGAGGCTGGCATGCCGTGGCAATCCGTGGCATGTGGCATCCTCTTTCGGAAATGTTAGATATTGCGGCGCCAGGATGCCAACGCGTGCCGCATCCTCACTCAGCGAATCCTGTGCCGCGGGACACCAAGTGCCTGCGTGTCCAGGGCAGGATTGATTTCAGAGATGTGGGCAGTGCGGTTCTACTGAGGCACGGCATCCCGCGTGTACAAAGCAAGTACCAAAGAGCCGCCAGAGCTGGCGCGGCTTGAGGCTGGCATGCCGTGGCAATCCGTGGCATGTGGCATTCTCGTCTGGAAACGTTTGTTTTTGCGACAGGATCCGGGTCTTGGTCCATCCGACGATTATTTATCCGAGGATGTGTACGAGGACGGGTGCATAGCTATTTGGCGACAGGCAGGCTACGTCAAGCCAGGCGAAGCTGAAATCCAGACAGGATGCCAACGCGTGCCGCATCCTCACTCAGCGAATCCTTTGCCGCGGGACGCCAAGAGCTTGCGTGTCCAGAGTCCAGGGCAGGATGGCAGGATTGTTGCATGGTGTTGTTCAGCGATATGGGCAGTGCCGTTCCGGTGAGGCACGGCATCTCGCGTGTACCACTTAAGTGCCAGTGAGCCGCCCGAGCTGGCACGTCTTGAGGCTAGCATGGCTGGCATACCGTGGCAGATGGCATTGCTTTCTTAAACTTGAAATAGATATTGCGACAGGATCCGGGTCTTGGTCCATCCGACGACTATTCATCCGTGGACGTGTGCGAGGACGGGTGCGTAGCTATTTGGCGACAGGCAGGCTATGTCAAGCCAGGCTAAGCTGAAACCCAGCCAGGATGCCAGCGCGTGCCGCATCCTCACTCAGCGAATCCTTTGCCGCGGGACGCCAAGAGCCTGCATATCCAGGGCAGGATTGATTTCAGAGATGTGGGCAGTGCGGTTCTACTGAGGCACGGCATCCCGCGTGTACAAAGCTAGTGCCAAAGAGCCGCCGGAGCTGGCGCGACATGAGGATTGCAGAGAACAGGACACCAAGGATGGCTTGATAGTTCATGGTCAGTTTTCCACCCAGTAGCCGGATTTGACAAGTCCAGTTTGCTGCAGAGCCTTGCCTACTCCCGTACAGTGAATTAGGAGGTTATACTTCTGTTATGTCAATGTGTTGCAAGGGCGCGCCACCAGCCACGTTTTCAAGAACACATGCATCATCCCTGAGATGGACGCAATGAGTCAAACTTTGGGCGTGGTTCATGAGGAGTAGCAGGCAGGTTCGATTCTAGCCGTGCCACTGCCGGCAGGACGCCGAGGACCAGGGCACAGAGCCCAGCTCTTGCCGAGGCCGAGGCGGCAAAGAGGCCATGCCAGAGGCCGCGTCGCAGGCGTCAGCGGCAGACTGCGGCTGTGCTCTGCCGCTGTGCTCTGCCGTGCTCTGCCGCTCCGACCTCGCAGGGCGGCGCTTCGCCCGAAGCGAAAGATGCGAAAGCAAAGCGCCTGATGGAGTTGCGGCGGAGCTTCTCGGCCATGGCCTCACGTTGCTCTCTCGCGCTGCCCAGGGACATTCAATTTCGCAGGCCCTGAAGCAAAGCCACGGCCTCCTCCAACGAAAGGCGGTCGCCCAAGTGGCATTTTCCAGTCCCTGCTCATGGACGAACCCTTCCGAGCCATGCCTCAAACTAAGCCTTTGAGCTGGAGCGCCTGTGTGTTTGTGACGAGGTCAGCAAGATTTCGCGAGCTGCTGATGAGGTTCGCAAAGTTTGCAGGTCATTTGCTTCGGGTCTTGAATTTGTGCGTCGAGGTGCGACGGAACACCGACCAAGCAGTGCAGCTGCTGAGCCCGAAGTGATTCCGGCCCTGTGAAAGCAAGACCTGGACCAAGACCTCACCACAGTTATCCCCAAGCTCCTAGACTAGACCTGGAGTAGCGATTGTGGGCTCCGACTCAACGGAAGAAGATACTTCGGACACTGAAAGGGGCAGAAGGGTCCTCGAAGGGGACGCTTTCGTTTCTCAAAGATCGGAGTCCGAGTCGAACGAAGAGAAAGGTAACATCGGCAAGGCCTGCAGTTTTTCGAGCCCTTTGTCAGAAGTAGGTGCTTGCCTTCGTTAATCCTGATGATGTGATGCAGCGGCCTTGCTCAGAGCGCACGCAGACACGAATATAGCTTGACAGGAGTAAGTGTTGGTAGCAGCATCGTACATGTTCCGTCCTAGCTTTCACAACTCGCGCTATTCAAGTCCGACACTGCGGAGCTCGTGCAGAGGTGCAGCAGTTCGCGATGATCGGTTAACGGCTCACAGCCGTCCTCGCACAGCCCCAAGCACCTATAAAGAGGGATCCACAACTGGGACTCGCAGCTCGGAGCTCGCATTTGCAAGCATCCTGCATCCGTTGGCGCCGAGCCGCTGTTGGTGGAGGCCTCCTTCGACAGGGCTATGCCGGGTTACGCCTGGTTGCCCAGTTTTCTGAGCTGAGGCCATGGGTGGCACGAGCTCGCAGCCGATTGATGCGCCTTGGCGGGAACGGTCCTTAGCGCTGACAGCCGTCTTGGCCGCTCAGGTGCGGGTCACCGACCGGAAGAGTCTCACCAAGGACAGAAGAGACGGCAGTGACGAGATCGGGCACGGGATTTGGGGTCTTTCTCCCACGCAGGAGCTATGCCTCCGGCGGAAAGACTACGAGTCCATGCAGCACAGGTATTGTGCCACTCAGACGGAAGCTGTAGGGCTGTAGGGCCTGCAGGGCGCTAGGGCAAGCGAAGGGAGCGCGTGACACGGGAAGCTCGCTTGAGCGGAGGTTGAGGACCTGACCAACTCCCAGGAGAACAGCAGGTCGAGGAAGGGCTTTGGGGTGCCTGTATGTGCTGCTCTCCATATCTCTCCATGACCTCGAAGAAGGGGGCTTCTCTTTTGAAGCAGCGCAGGATGGCTCACCTCCTCCACCGAGCAGCGATCCGCGATCCCGAGATCTGCAAGGGTGGCGAAAACTCTCAGATCTTCATGGAGGCCAAGTGTTCCTGTGAAGCTTTCATCCCTTCGTGGCCCTGCTCTGTCAGCATTGTCAGGCTGGCATGCTGCCCTTGGTCATCTCCTTCCTGTTTGGAGGGGCTCTGATACGCTGCTTCGAGGCGCGAACGGTCAAAACTGCCCATGAACGACTGCTCTGAAGCTGCACCCGAGGTGTGCCCCTTGTGGTTCGTGGTGTACTACAAGACCTTGGACCAGGCTCCAGAGATGAGAAGCATTCTCACATCACCGGCACTCCCATCAGGTCTTCTCAAAGATCGACAAAGGCTTCAAACAGTGCACAGCCTCAGTGCAACTGCCCTCCGCTCCCAAGTGTTGCGATGCCTGTTGTGTTGTTGAAGTTTCAGGGTGAAGTGCCACACTTGGCCCTTCCCAGGTATTACGGCCAGTCCCTCCACTTGGAGTACGCTCGCACGGACTGGTCTCCCGTGCACGTCGCCGAGGCCGCAAAAATGCTATGAGCATAGCTGGGGAACTGGAGTAGCGTCACCCCCTGCTAGCTGACCTTTTCGCCTAGCAAAGCCTCATAAAGCCTCTATTGCCCCAGCCTCTTTGGTTGAAACGGTTGAACGCTTCGACGCCAGTCGTGCTGGGTAATTTGGCCACCTGCGCGCATCGAACATTTTCAATCACCATTTTCAATCATCCAATGCGTTGACCAGCAAGAGCCAAACCCCAAAGTGGGAAGCATCGGATTTGCTAACTCCCCGGAACCTTGAGTCAAGCGAGCAGTCGAATGAGACCCTCGGACACGACAGCTAGGGAAAGCATCTGCCCCAAGACTCTGCATGTGTTGCTGCGGAGCTGTAAGCATACAAGATGCCAGCACGCTTGTGCTCTCCTTGCGTCTTTCTTCAGTGGGCAAAGTCAGACCGGCAATCGCTGTCGAAGGCAGGCATCCGCATCGATCGGATCTTGATCGCGAGAGTGACGAGCCATCACGTGAACCACTGCACGAAGGCAGGAGCCCAGCCCAAGCCTAGCTGGTTGCTTAGCCTCCATGTGACTTCGTCAGGTCTCCTATGGTTACGCATACAAGCAACGGCCTCTCTCAACCGAAGGGTGCAAACTGATGGATTTTGAGTGCTCTGAGGAGTGGCCAGTTCGCAGAGGACGACAACGATGTGGCCAATAAAACAGAGGACTCCTCCCACGCCGACGTGGAGAGAAGAGCATTGCCGCAGCATTGCCCTCACGCACAGGACAGGAAAGATCCGTTTGAGGCGCGGTCCCGTGGGCGGTTTGACCAGTAGTTCCCGACAGCATTGCACTCTGAACCGCCGGCCAGTGCTCCTTCAAGTTCGACACGTATACAAGGGGGAGGTCTCGAAACTTTTGGATCCACAAGGACTGATGAACTGCAAGCTTCAAGCGACATCTCGCGGCCGGAATCATCTTTGGCAGAGAGCAGAGGGACGGAATTGGACGGAATTTGCGTCCTCAAAAGCAATCCACACCACTCGCAGCCTTCAGAGCCTTCGGGAAAGAGTATGCGCACAGGACATCTGCCGATTCCACGGCGACGAAACTCGCGTGGCCGCCACGCAGAACATCACGCCCGTGTGTGTCAACGACCGCATCGAGGCAGGGCCAGAGCCGCAGGGCCAGGGGGCCACAGGGTCGTCGCTGTTGCAGATTGCCGTGAACCTCTTCAACGCCATGGGACTGGTGGATGTCGACAAGGCGCATTACCGCAATCGCACAGGGCCGCTAGGCCGCTAGGCGCAGTAAAGCCACTGCATGGCTAAAGGTCGGCTGGCGCCCGCTGGAGATTTTTCCAATGCAGGAGAAGCCGCGTTGCGCTGTGTACGCGACGACTCGACACTTCATTAGGCCCACCTCGCTGCAAAGTCTGAGGACCGGGAGTGCCCAATCGAGCAGGAGCTCTTTGACTGGTCCCCCGCATCAGCGACCGCCTTCAAAGCGGGGCTTGGATCGGCGACTGTCAGGTACGATCTAGATTCCTTCCAGTCGCAGAGCGTGGAGAGGCCGCCAAGACCCCGCTGTGTTGTGAGTGCTGCAGTGTTGCTTCTGAAGGTTGCAAATTCCGGATTTCTTCAGCCCCCAGCTGATGCACATGTCTACAGAGTAGCTTGGACAGCATACGAGCTCAAGCTTGAAGCTGTCCTAGAAGCTGTCACTTCCAGGTATGCCGGGATCGATGTCGCCGTCAGCCGCACTCGACTGCGAGCAGAAGCACAGGGCGTGGGATCCTTTGTGGTTCCGGGCACTGGAAGTGGTGGGTGCTGTGCTGGTCGTACACTGCTGCTGATGATTCTTGAGGTGGTTCCGCAGGCAGACCGCATCCTTGGGTCTCGCTTCGAAGCCCGTCCCCCTTGTTTTTTCCTGTGCTTACATGCGCTGTAGTTGGCAGCGCATTCACGGGCAAAGCTGCCGAGGTCCTGCCCAGGAGCAGCCCAATCATTCTCCCGCTGAAGCGAGTCGGCCTACAGCATGATCGTTTTACCAAGATCCAGTTGCGTCAGGGCGACTGCATCCTTCTGTGCGCCCTGCGAGTCGAGACTTTGGACATCCTCGGATCATTAGAGCCTTGCCCACAGGTATATCAGCCAAGGAGGCAAGATGACCTGAGGGCAGTGAGTGCAGTGAGACCGAGAAAGACTTGGTGCTGCTGCAGCCTTTTTGCATCAGACAAAAAACATTCAAGTCTCAGCAATAGCAACCCGTAGTTCTCAGGCGACACTACGTTTCGGTACGGCCTAGGATGTCCGGCTGAGTGTTTGCATGGCTGTGTTGCGACTTCTGTGTCACCTTTCAAGCGATGGTGCTAAAGGTCCACCGGCTCACATCGCTAATTCGATGCAACTGTCAGGATGCCGATGGTCATATGTCACGAGCTGTCACAAGTTGTCTCGACCTCTCGATTCGCAGGATGCCTGTTTCTTGCCGTGACGTTGCCTCTCCGGTGAAGGAAGCCGACCGGGAGGAAGTGATGAGAAGCCCAGGGACCAAGAGATGGCGCTTGGAGGGTTTCCTTCGCTGCGAGCCAAAAGAGCGGGACCGGTACTGGCCGGGTCCAACGATGCACTCGGAGGAAAGCCCCGAGCTTCGGCAATGAAAAGGACAGCAGGGCAGTAGGGTGCTTGGCAGTGCTTGGAGGTACCATCTCAGAGCTGATGTAACGCCGCTTTCCACTTCCCTTGCGTCTTCTCCAGACCGAGATTGATTGAGAAACATGATCTTTCAAGAAAGGTCGTTTCAGGGTATCTAGCTTGACACCTCCAACCGATTTTGGGACTTCGTTCACTGCAGCCATGGCCTCAATCTTTGATGCGGCCGCCGCTGGCGACATCGGCGCCATGAATGGCTTCCTGGAGCAGCGATTTGCATTCACAGCTTTTCCGATTCCTGCGTCGCTTCCGTCACTGCTTCTTTGTCATGAATGCTGTGAAGTCCAGAGTGGGCTTGCCCATGCACACCACCCGTTTTGTTTTGCGCGGTTTGGGTTTGCCTCCATCAATCCTCTTGAGGTTGAGGGCGTGTCAGCCGCACTTTTTTTTGGTCCATGGTGGGTACTTAGCTGCAATACAGCAGTAGTTTGTGTTGCAAACATGTGCGTCGTTCAGCATAATTCGGGACAGCCACTCTTTGAGCTGTGAACAGTTTCTCATATGTCGACATGGATAAGTTTTTCATGAACCAGCATGATGTTGGCACGCGGGGCGCAGCTCGGCAATGGCACAGCAGCACGAGAAGAGGTTTAACAGCCATGTGTTGAACACGCCGTTGAAAAGATATTTTTGAGCCAAGTTTACAATCACATTTGGAAGAGAGTTTACCCGAAAAGACGTCCAAGCCATGGTTGTCTTGACGACTTAGACGCACCGGTGAAAGCCAGTTTGCCAACTTTTTTAGTTTGTTCTCTGAGCGCAAGGCTCGTCTCACAAGCAGCGTTGTCCAAAACCTGCCGCATTTACACATGGACTCGATTGGTTTTCAATTCAAGGCGTCGCCACTTGCGCTTGCCCGACATATGCCGCGAAGTTTCCACACGCAGACACTCCAAGCCAAAAGGAGACATTGCCCCTACTATCCTCAGAACTTTCGGATCCAAGCTGATTGAGCTGTGAGACGAGCCCCGGTCAGCGACCGAAACTCTTTGGATTCTCCTGAAACCATAGCCCCCAAGCCTCTACACCTCTGGTTTACCTGGTCTGCCTCAAGACCAACACCCGAAAGCTTTGTCGTGCGCTCATCTGTGTGGTTGAACCGCTTGTGAGGACTCGGATGATGTCGACATCGACGCGAAGGAGCATTCGGCAGCCGCCAGCTTCGCATGCCCATCCTGTTACGTACCTCGTCGACCTCGTGGCTCAATAATTTAGGAAGCGCAAGGTTCGCACGCCACGTTCACAGGGACACGGACGTGAGAATCGAAGCCCGAAGTCCTGAAGCCATCGAATCAAAACTTGACTAACCCACATCGACCAGCGGGCCGCTGACCAGCCGCCCTTGGCCGCTTCCTCGCGTCGAGTTGCGCCGTGGCCCTGGGCAGCACCACCTTGCTCGTCTCTTTCCGTGGCTGGCACCAGGCGCATGGCAGTGGCAACTTGGGCCGGATCCTCACATCCTTCTGCTTGAGCAACAGGCATGGGAAGACATGTGAGGAGTATCCTCCCCAACTTGAACGAAGAGCTCTCGCAGAACCTGGGGCCGAGGACAGGATCTTCAGATGATAAGTCCTTGAGAGGTAGGGGTAAGTGGACAGTGTGTACGGTGCGTCGCCGACGGTGGCACGCATTGCTGACCACCGCTGCAGGCACTGTAGGTTTTTCCCTCTATGCTGCCGCTGCTCCAGACTATGCGGTAAGCGCATTTGTCTAGACTCTAGACACAACTCTACAGGTGGTTGAGAGATAGTTACATGCAAGCTGCACCGCGGAAAGGGCAGTACCAAAGCTTCTTGAAGCCGCCAGATTGCTCTTCTGTGGTATTGGGTTTTTATGCACGCATCATCCATCCCTCCATCTGTCCCTCCCTCCCTCCCTCCCCTCCCCTCCCTCCCTCCCTCCTGGAAGCCATCAAAGAGGGCACAGCAGCCTCCGCCGATGACCTGTGGGACTCGACTCGGACTCTGCAGGATTTTACTTCGCTTTGCAGGCTATGCTCGCCTTGTAGCCTTCGCTGTCTTTTGGAGAGAGGTGATACTCTGCCTGCAGGGCGCCAGGCTGGGAGCCCCTGCCTTCAAGCGCGTCCGGATGGGCAACAGGCCATGGCATAGGCGATGATAAACTGGAACCTCAAGGAAAGCTTGACGAAAACTGCCACAAAGGCCGCATTGTTTCAGTGCTGGGCAGGGCATTCAGCCAGCATTCCACCCAGATTGCCACAAACCTTATCAGATTTACCAGTTGCAGTTTAAAAGTTTAGAACTGGAGAACCCGAGCTCAGAAAACGGCACGTACGCTACAAGGAAGAGCTTCTGCTGCGTTGTGAACTGGAAGTGGCGTGCTACCTCATGCGCAGGAATCGGAAGTTTGGAAGCAGCTGCGAAATTCAAGCCGCGGGCTCCTTCCATCTGGTTGCTGACAGCATCTGAGCAGGGCTGAAGAAGCTTTCAGGCGGCTGTCAGAGGTGACGTCGAAGATGGGACACAGGCTGTACACCAGGCCACCATCCTGTGCCGGTTTGGATACCTGCGCTGTGGACCTGCACCAAAACAATGCATCCTGGCCGGCGGGTCCTCAACCCGTCTGCAGAGTTCCAGGCAAGAGCGCAAAAAAGCCGTAGAGGAGGAAGCCGAAGACCAGGGCGCGTGCGAGTGCCTGCGACTGCGGAGCTCGGTGTTTCTCCCCTTTTCGCGCACGGGAGATCCTTCAGGATGGGCGCCAGGAGCAAGGAGGACCTGACGACTTCCACTTCGGACAGGTTCAAGTTTCTAACGAGGGCTCCCCACATTTCCTGGATAGCTTCGCAAGCTTCCTCGATGCAATCCACTGCCGCCTGGAGAAGGGCGTAGTGAACATGGCATGTGATATCCTGTGAGCGAAAGTGTGAGCGTGGCCTCGATGCTCTGACGGAAGCAGCAGGCGACGCAACAGCAGATGCAGCAAAGAATCCAGCAAAGCGCTGCCATGACCTGGAGCACGCGAAAAAGCGAGAATACCGACACGCTGAGTGAGTGAGTGGGTGAGTGAGTGAGTGAGTGAGTGACACTTCACTCTACAGTCGGGACAGTTGTGAGCAACCGATATCAGTGTATTTCCCACAATCCACAACACACTCAAGCGAGCATTCCTTTGTGCGGCCAAGCCAGTGTGATCCAGTCTTGAGTCAAATGCATTCGGCATTGTAGCATTCGATAGTGCATCATGTTCGTTCTCGAGCAATCTAGGGATATTTCATTTAACACAGCCCTTTGGTTCTGACTTTAGTCGAGAACTATTCAAACACTTAATCATCGTAGACAACCATATGGCAACATTCGCGGAGCGATCAAAGAACATTCGAAACAGAGCTGTGAAAAACAGTGGCATCATCCTGGTCATTCTGGCGACTCAGGAAGAACATTCGAAGCTGCAATCCACAGAAGAAATCCATTCAAATGCTCCCCCGGTCGCGAATGCTGTCAGAGGAGCACAGCCTGGATTGGTGACGAATTTGTTCGTTCGGGTTTGCCTGCTGATTGGCGCACTGAGTTCCGGAGTGCCACCAATGCCGACTCC